CAAAAGAAGAGATTGAAAAGGTAATTAAAAAACTCCTGACAAAAAAAAGCCCTGGCCTGGATGGCTTCACCGGAGAATTCTACTGAACTTTCACAGAAGAATTAACACCACTACTATTAAAGGTATTTCAGAGCACAGAAAAGGACAGAATACTCCCAAACTCATTCTATGAAGCCAGCATAACCCTGATACCAAAACCAGATAAAGACACCACAAAAAAAGAAAATTATAGACTAATATCCCTCATGAATATAGTTGCAAAAATCCTCCACAAAATTCTAGCCAACAGAATTCAACAACATATCAAAAAAATAATTCAACATAACCAAGTGAGATTTATACCAGGTATGCAGGGATGGTTCAACATTAGGAAAACAATCAATGGAATCCATCACATAAATAAAAGACAACAATCAAATAATCTTATTAACTGATACAGAAAAGGCATTTGACAAAGTCCAACACCCATTCATGATTAAAACTCTCAGCAAAATAGAAACAGAAGGGAAATTCTTCAACATAACAAAGGGCATTTATACAAAGCCAACAGCCAACATCATCCTAAACGGAGAAAGTCTGAAAGCATTCCCCTTGAGAAAGCGAACCAGACAAGGATGTCCTTTATCACCACTCTTATTCAATACGGTGCTGGAGGTCCTAGCCACAGCAATTAGGCTAGAAAAAGAAATAAAGGGCATCTAAATTTGTAGGGAAGAAGTCAAAGTATCTCTATTTCCAGATAATATGATCTTATACACAGAAAACCCTAAAGAATACACAAGAAAACTATTGGAACTAATAGAAGATTTCAGCAAATTTTCAGGATACAAGATAAACATACAAAACTCAGTTGGATTCCTTTACATCAACAAAGAGAACCTCGAAGAGGACATCACCAAATCAACACCATTTAAAACAGCCCCCAAGAGGATAAAATACTTAGGAATAAATCTAACCAGAGATGTAAAAGATCTATACAATGAAAACAACAAGACACTACTGCAAGAAACCAAAAGAGACCTGCATAAGTGGAAAAACATACCTTGCTCATGGATAGGAAGACTCAACATTGTGAAAATATTAATTCTACCCGAAGCATTCTACAGATACAATGCAATCCCGATCCAAATTCCAAAGGCATTTTTTAATGAGATGGTGAAACAAATCACCAACTCCATATGGAAAGGGAAGAGGCCCCAAATAAGTAAAGCATTACTTAAGAAGAACAAAGTGGGAGGCCTCAAACTACCTGATTTTAGAACCTACTGTAACACCACAGTAGTCAAAACAGCCTGGTACTGGTACAACCACAGATACATAACCAATGGAACAGAATTGAGAATCCAGACATAAATTCATCCACCTATGAGCAGCTGATATTTGACAAAGGCTTAAAGTCTGTTAATTGGGGAAAAGATAGTCTCTTTAAGAAATGGCGTTGAACTGGCATAATGGGACTCCACCTGAAAAAACTGAAACAAGACCCATACCTCACACCATGCACAAAAACTAACTCAAAATGGATCAAAGAAATAGAAAATCGAAAATGATAAAGATCATGGAAGAAAAAATAGGGACAACGCTAGGAGCCCTAATACATGGCATAAACACAATATGAACCGTAAGTAACAATGTACAAGCATGAGAAGACAGACTAGATAAATGGGAGCTCCTAAAAATCAAACACTTATGTTCATCAAAAGACTTCACCAAAAGAGTCAAAAGACAACCTACAGACTGCGAAAAAAATTTTGGCTTTGACATATCCAATCAGCATCTAAGCTCTAAAATCTGCAAGATACTGCAAAACCTCAACAACAAAAAGACAAATAACCTAATTAAAAAATGGACAAAGGATATGAACAGGTACTTCATCAAACCAGATATTCAGGTGGCTAACAGACACATGAAGAAATGCTCATGATCATTAGCCATTAGAGAAATGCAGATCAAAACTACAATGAGATACCATCTCACCCCAACAAGGCTAGCATTAATCCAAAAAACACAAAATAATAAATGCTGGAGAGGTTGTGGAGAGACTGGAACACATACTCTGTTGGTGGGAATGTAAAATGGTACAACAACCACTTTGGAAATCAATTTGGCGGTTTCTTAAAAAGCTAGAAATAGAAGTACCATACAATCCAGCTATCCCGCTCCTTGCAATATATTCTAAAGAAATAAGAGTGGTCACACGAATAGATATATGCACACCCATGTTCATTGTAGCACTGTCCACAATAGCAAAAAGATGGAAACAACCTAGATGCCCATCAACTGATGAATGGATAAACAAATTACGGTGGATAAACAAATTATGGTACATCCACACAATGGAATAGTATGCAACAATAAAGAACAATGATGAAGCCACGAAACATAATATGGAGGAAGCTGGAGGTCATTATGCTGAGTGAATTTAGTCATAGAAGGACAAATATTGTATAATACCACTATTTTAAGAACTCAAGAAAAGGTTTAAACACAGAAGGAAACATTCTTTGGTGGTTAGGAGGATGGGGAGGGAGGGTGAGGGTTATCTACTAACTAGATAGTAGATAAGAATTATCTTAGGTGAAGGGAAGGACAGCACATACTACAGGGGAAGTCAGCACAACTGGACTAAACCAAAGCTAAGAAGTTTCCTGAATACAATCAAACACTTTGAGGGACAGAGTAGCAGGAGTAGAGGTCTGGGGACCATGCTCTCAGGGAACATCAAGGTCAACTGGCATAACAAAGCTTATTAAGAAAATGTTCTGCATCCTACTTTGGTGAGTGGCGTCTGGGGTCTTAAAAGCTTGCAAGCGGCCATCTAAGATGCATCAATTGGTCCCAACCACCTGGAGTAAAGAGAACGAAGAACACCAAAGACACAAGGAAAGTATTATCCCAAGAGACAGAAAGGGCCACATAAACCAGAGACTTCATCAGCCTGAGACCAGAAGAACTAGATGGTGCCCGGCTACCACCAATGACCCCTGACAGGGAACACAACAGAGAGTCCCGGATGGAGCAGGAGAAAGGTGGTATGCAGAACTCAAATTCTAGTAAGACCAGACTTAATGGTGTGACTGAGACTTGGAGGAACCCCAGAAAGCATGGCCCCTGGATTCTCTATCAGCCCAGAACTAAAACAATCTCCGAGGCCAACTCTTCTGACAGCGATTGGGCTGGACTGTGGGACATAAAGTGATACTCGCGAGGAGTGCGCCTCTTAGCTCAAGTAGATACAAGAGACTAAATGGGCAGCTTCTGTCCGGAGGTGAGATGGTAAGGCAGACAGGGTTAGGAGCTGATTGAGCAGACATGGGGAATCGGGGGTGAAAAGGGGGAGTGTAGTGTCACAGTATGGAGAGAGCAATTAGAGTCACATAACAATGTATGTATAAATGTCTGTTTGGGAAAAAAAAAAGATTAAACTGGTAGAGATGACTAGGAAAGATTATGAGAAGGAGACTGGAATTTGGGAATAAGTGCCTGAATTAGGATTGTGGCAATGAGTATGGAAAGGAAGGGATGAGTAAGAGAGGTACAACAAAGAAAAATGGAACAGATTTGGTTCTAATCAGATGGGAGGCAAGGCAAGACAGAGTTCCGACATTCAGTTTACTTCTAATTGATGATGTTTATTATAGTAATGTAATACAATAACACAATGATCTCCCTGAAGTTAAAAATGTTTTAACAGTCTTAAACATTTTAATAATTAGGCCACACATAATGTGAATGCAGGACCCTAGGGGTGCAAATGGTTGCGCTTGACTACTAACCCTAAAGGTTGGTGGTTTAAACCCATCCAACAGTGCTGTGGAAGAAAGGCCTGGTGAATTGCTTCTGTTAAGATTACAGCCAAGAAAACCCAATGGAGCATAGTTCTACTCTGCAACACATGAGATCACCATGAGCTGTAACTGAGTTGAGGGCAATCAGTTTGGTTTTTGGTTTTAATATGAATGCACTCAGAAAAGACGAAAACAATCTGGTAGCAAAACAAATAATTTCCTTCTTAGCTGTTGCTGATGTCTTATTTGCACGTCTGTGTCTTGTATCATAGGCAGGGTGTCATATAATTTAGCACACTTTTGAGAGACAAAGGGACAAATTAACAATTATGCCAGGGCAAAAAAGACTAGCTCAGGCAACCTAGAACATATGGTCCCCTAAGTACGGGGGAAAGGAGTGGAGTGAGGTTGTTCTCTATTCCACATGTCCACAGCTGGGCCTCACAGGAAAGAATAGGTTTTCTCCTCCATCATGCTGGAGGAACACCCAGATGGGGAATAATAAATCACCCCAAACCAAAGCGGTGTCTGATCAGGTCTTGCCTCTGGTGTTAGCTCCAGAAAACACATGGTGAAGCAGATAAAATTTATTACTCTCATATTTCAACTCTTTCATCTCCTGTTGGCACCTGTGTAGCCAGAGCTCCACTGTCTGATATTCCACAGTGGCCTGCTCTTCCCCAGGCTTCAGAAATCGTTCCCATTGCTTCTCCTTCCCCAACCATGTCTATATGAAAACACTCGTTTGAACATCCTGAGTGTCTTCACTCACTGTTTATAGCAAACTTACTCACCCACCGATTCCAATGATAAATGTTTTCATAATCAGCTTGAAAGTCACGTCTTCCTAAAATTTCCTTAAAAAAAAAAAAATCAGAAGTTTATCATTGAGATGTCTAAAGTGGTAAAATAAATAGTCGTAAGTTAGGAAGGCCAGCTGGGGGGAAACAATGACAGTCATCTCTCACTTATCCTACTCTGGATTATCAACATGGCATGGAAGTCTTCACACGGTACTGGTTTTTCTCTGCCACACTCTACTGCAAAGTGCCAATAGCTGCTGCATGCTCAGGGGATATAAACAGATGTCAAATGAGCTAAAAGGGCCCATGGCCAAGCTTATGCCCTTGAATTTGTCTTTTTCAAGGGCAGGAAGAGTTGTTAGGCCACAGCATAGTCCAGAGAGTTTCACATTCCCGAGCCAGGTCACATTTCACGTGCAAAGCTCAATCACCTCGATATGAAACATTAAACCCGGGGCTGGTGAACCCTCTCGGCTGACCTCTCTTTCTCCTCTTCTGAAAGAGGAAGAATGTCAGTGCTGGCCAGAGGCAAAAGGACACTTAATTCCCTTTTAAGGGCACCATTTTCTCATTGAAGAGTCTTGGTCAAAGGCCGAGGTCAGGAGCTCTGGTGGCAGTTAAGTGCTCAGCTGTTAACTGAAAGGTTGCTGGTTTGAACCCACCCAGAAGAAAGACATGGTGACATGTTTCTGTAAAAATCACAGCATAGAAAACCCTATGGGGCAGTTCTACTCTGTCACCTGGGGTCACTAGGAGTTGAAAATCAACTTGTCAACACCCAACAACAAGGCCAGGGTAACCCATTGCTGTCGAGTCAATTCTCATTCATAGTGACCCTACAGGACAGAGCAGAACTGCCCCATAGGGTTTCCAAGGAGCTGGTGGATTTGAACTGTTGACGTTTTGGTTACCAGCCGAGCTCTCAACCACTGTTGCACCAGGACTCCACTACAGCCAGTGTAGACAAATTTTTTCAGAAATAGATCTACCAGTACATATTTGAATTTTGTTGTCAAAAAGGCAAAATCAGGAGATGGAGCCAACATGGTGCTATAGACAGAAGTACTACGCCATCCCTCCACAGCAAAGACCCAAAAAACTAAGTAAAACAGAGACAAACATCAATCCTGGAACCCTAAGCATCAAACAGAGATAAAAAACTCAACCGAGTACCAAATGGAATAAGAAACTGACAGAGAATAGAAAGCGAGGAGAGTTACAAATGGAGGTCCCCTATTAGCTAACACAGCACGAATCCACCACCTTGGACTTGGACTCCCGTCGGAGATCGGCAGACAGGGAGTACAGGAAAGCAGATTCACAGAGCTCCGAGCAGGAGACAGAGCACCTGTTAACCAGCGAGACACACTTTTCCAGCCTCTACCTTGCCTCCCCCTGCTTGACCTTCGCCACTTCCTGGCTGGCCAAATCCTGGCTTCCTGGAGGGCCGATTCACTGCTTCCCGGTGAACTGTGACTGGAGGATTTGCCCTGCCAACTATGGCCAGCTTCTTCATGGCCATTTCTTTGTTGCTGCTATTGCTTTTTTTGGCCTCTTTTGATTTCTTCCCTGCCTCTCACCTCCTCCCCTGCCTGTCTCTCAAACACTTGACTCCATGTGCCATCTTTGCTTCTTCTTGACACACTGTGAAGCGCCACTCAGCTGGGGAACTGCTTCCCTGTTACGTGCGGCCACACTGGTGGGATCCCTGGGGACTTTTCTTCCCTTTTCCTTTTTTTTTTTGTTCGTTTTCTTTTTCTTTTTTCCTTTTTATTTTTCTTTGTTTCTCAGTTTCTCATCTCTTTCTACTTACCTTCTTTTCCTGTCTCCTGAATACCTGTCGCTGTGTAGCATCTCCACCCCTTCTAGCTGTGCTGTACTGCGAGGCTTGGGAGCTGCTTCCCTAGTCTTCGCAGCCATGTCAGTGGGAACCCTGGGGGCACTGTTTAATATAATTTTTATTTTATTTTTTCCTTTTTGTTTTTCTTCATTTCTCGGCATCTTGTCTCTCTACTCCAATGGTAAGCTAGCTCAGCACTTTTTTTTTTGCTCCTGTTTCTTCTCCCATACCCAGCCTAGCTCCACAAATCACAACCTCCTCCTTCCCCTCCCTCCTGCCTATCTGAACCATGTGCTGAATATTGCACTCCTGAGCAGCACAGGCACAGCCTACTGGAACCTGCCCTGCACTGACCACCAGCTCACTTTGTCAGCCCCAGTATGTGCCACAACCTATACCAGCCCTTCCTTTTCAGCTGGACCTGTCTTGTTGCACCATAACTGAGTGATCAGCCCTGATCATTGGACAAGGAGGTGAAAAATACCGTGTCCACAGACAAACGAACAACAAAGAATGCACAAACCACCTACTCAGGCATAACCAGATAAAACAAAAAAGCAGGACAGAACAAATCTACAATTAATAAACGAAAATAACTACCAAATGTCCCAAAGACAGCAGACAATATCAAAACACGTAAAAAAATAGACAGGATGGTTCCAGTAGGCGTCCAAAATAAAACACCAGATGACTTTCCAGTACAAGAAAAGGCACTAGAACTACCTGATAGGGAATTCAAATATCTAATATTCAGAGCTATTCAAGAGTTGAAGCAAAAAGCAAACAAAAATGAGAAAAAAACAGACAAATTCATGGAAAATACAAACAAAAAATGAAAGAATTCAGGAAAATAACACAGGAACAAAATGTCAAGTAAATTACAACTAGAAATCATACAAAAACAACAATTAGAAATCCAAAAGATACACAACAAGATTTCAGAAAAGGACAGCGTCACAGAAGGGCTGAGAACAGGTATGAAACAATGGAAGATAGGATCAGTGAAGTTGAAGACAAACACTTGAAACTTTGCAGAAAAATAAAAAAAAAAGGACAAAGAAAAATGAAGAAACCCTGAGAATTATATGGGATATACTCAAAAGCAAAAATTTCCAAGTGATCCGAGTTCCAGAACAGGAGGAGAAAACGGAAAACATAGAGAGGATCACTGAAGAATTGCTGACCGAAAACATCCTTAGTATCATGAAAGATGAAAAGCTGATCGTCCAAGAAGCTCGACAAACCCCATATAGGACAAACTCCAAAAGAATATCACCAAGGTATATCATAATCACACTCGCTAAAACCAAAGACAAACAGAGAATCCTGATAGCACCTCGAGAAAAACGAACACTCACATACAGAAGAGAAACAGTAAGAATAAGCTCTGATTACTCGGCAGAAACCATGCAGGCAAGAAGGCAATGGGATGACATATACAACACCTTAAAAGAAAAAAGCTGCCAACCAAGAATAATATATCCTGCAAAATTCTCGTTCAAATATGATGGTGAAATCTGGACATTTCCAGATAAACAAAAATTAAGGGAATACGTAAAAACCAAACCAAACTTACGAGAATTATTAAAGGGAGTCCTGCGGTTTGAGAACACCATCAGATGACAGCCTGAATCTAGGACACAAGATCACACCAGATACCAACGTAGAAAATGAACTCTCAAGGACTATCCAAAAACAAAAGATTTACAACAGGAAACCAGAGAGATAAATATGCAAATGACAACAACATCAGAACAATAAAAGGGGGTATAAACAGTGTAGGTATAGAAACTTCTAATAGAGAGGAAGGCAAGGTGATACAAAGTAACAATAGACTCATTCAAACTTAGGAAGATAAGGGTAAATTTCAAGGTAATCAAAAAGAAAGTTAACAAACTTACTCATCAAAATAAAAAAGAAAAACATAAAGTCTCAGTGAAAACAAAATCTACAAAAACAAAAGAAATGAAAAAAAAAAACCCACAAACAAAAGGAATTCAGCACAGGAGAGTAACAGGAACAAAGAAATTGTCAGCACCACAAAAATCCACTACAAAATGATAAAATAAACTCCCAACTATCAATAACTACACTGAATGTAAATGGCCTAAATGCACCCATAAAGAGATAGAGTGACAGAATGGATAAAAAAAAAACAACAACAGGATCTATCAATATGCTGTCTACAAGAGACCCACCTTAGAAATGAAGACATAAATTTACTAAAAATCAAAGGATGGAATAAAATATATCAAGCAAACAGCCACCAAAAAAGAGCAGGAGTGGCAATATTAATCCCAGATAAAAAAGACTTTAAAACAAAATCCACCATAAAATACAAAGAAGGGCACTATATCATGATTAAAGGGACGATCCAGCATGAAGACATAACCATAAGAAATACCTATGCACCCAATGACAGGGCTCCAAAATACATAAAACAAACTTTAAAGCACTGAAAAGAAAAACTGACAGTTCCACTGTAACAGTAGGAGATTTCAACACACCACCCTCGGTAAAGAACAGAACATCTAAAAGAAACTCAACAAAGATACAGAAGACCTAAAGGGCACAATCAGCCAACTCCACCTCACAGACATGTATAGAACACTACACCCAACAGCTATGAAGTACACATTCTTTTCCAACACACTTGGAACATTCTCCAGAAGAGACCACATCTTAGGACACAGAGCAGCCCTAAAAAAAATCCAAAACAGAGATAATACAAAGTATCGTCTCTGACCACAACATCATCAAGGTAGAAATTAACAACAGGAAGAGTAAGGAAAAAAAATCAATTACATGGAATCTAAATAACACCCTGCTTAAAAACCACTGGGTAATAGAAGAAATCAAAGATGGAATAAAAAAATTCCTAGAATCAAACGAGAATGAAAACACATTATACCAAAACCTTTGGGACACAACAAAGGCAGTCCTCAGAGGACAATTTATAGCAATAGATGCACACATCAAAAAAGAAGGGACAAAATCAAAACATTAGCTACACAACTCAAACAAACACAAAAGGAACAGCAAAAAGAAGCCTACAGTCACGAGAAGAAAGGAAATAATAAAGATTAGAGCAGAAGTAAATGAAATATAGAATAGAAAAATAGCAAGAATCAACAAAACCAAAAGTTGGTTCTCGGAAAGGATCAACAAAATCGACAAATCACTAGCCAAACAGACAAAAGAAAAACAGGAGAGG